TGGGAGGCAAGCAATCGAGAGGGCGGCAAGCATGTAACTGAAATAAACAACAAACTTAATTAAAAACCAAAAATGGGGCGAAAAAGTAAACAAACCGCCCACACAGAAAGCACGACACTCATTCACTCAGGAACTGCAGACTACGGATTGCACAAATTGAAAAAACATACAAAAAGGCAAAGTCAAAATCAAAATCAAAATCAAAATGAAAACAAAAACAAAGGTAAAAAGCGAATTGCAGTTCGGCGTACAATGGCCATAAATATGAAATTGTATGGTAAATTAATGCTATTATAGCGTCTAAAATCCAATACATAAGAAATAGAAGAAAAATGCTTAGAAAAGAGCAGTAACAACGGCTAAATAAAGAGCCATATTTGAAGACCTTGTACGTGGGCTGCCTACACAACCAGTTCGCGGATTCAGTTTATTTCAATTTTGTGTGCTATGCCGGTCTGATGTGTTGGCCCAAACCGACTTGTCCCGGTCCGGCCAACTCCATCTCCGGCTCCAGCTATAGCTCTAGTGCACAGGGGAAAATATTAATTTATCATTAGCTTGGCTAAATAAATACTTTTAAAAGAGCCTTTAATATAATATAATATAAGAAGTTCAAAATATATTTCTTAAATCAAAAAGGCAAACTTCTCATATACATCATTTTATATTCAAAAGTTGAACCTACAGAAATCCAAAATCTATTATTGATATCTCATTCAGAAAATTCATTCCAAAGCCACTTGTGATTTACCATATAAAGCGTATAAAGTCCTTTGCCCGTATTTCTCTCTCTGTATACTACCGACTGGCTGCGGCAGCGTTTCAGTTTCTTAGTTCATATGTATACACGTATATCTGCCTCATACATATGGCGGCACTTGATTTGCATAACAAATGCAGCACAACAACAACAACAACAACAATAGCAGCTAGCAGCAGGCAAAAGCAAAAGCAAAGGCAAAATACAAAGAAGAAGGCTGGAACCGAGGTGGTGTGGTATGGCATATAGAAGCCGAGTCACTGAGCCGTGCCAAAAACAAAAGCCAGCCAAATTGCTGCAAAAATATATAGACTGGCTAAAAAATTCATCAAATGCGCACCCAAGAGTCAAAAGCTCGTCTCGCTCAATTACCAGAAATTTCACTCCATTAAGACACACACCTCGCGCGTCCATAAAAAGTGAATGTCTATCATTAAGACAATTTTTTCCAACGCTTTTTTTTCGGGGTTTTCTTGGCTGCTTTTTTCTGCTTTTTTTTTGCATCCGTCCAAAGCAGCACTTTTCCATTTCCGCTTTTATGCCAAATTAATTGAGCCTAATTACGGCAATTGAATGCTGCGGATTAGATCATCATAGAGTAAGAGACAGAGAGAGACGCAGAAAGATCACCTGCCGTGCCAGCTAGCGTGAATTAATTGGTGATTTAAGCCAAAAACAGAAATTAATAACCAAGTTCGTTAAAAAATGCTAATTTAGCTCATTTTTAATGGCGCCATAACGCCATGCCCTTCGCATATTTCCACCTTAAATTTCTAAGGTGACAAAAAAATTGCCACCAAAACCTACGCAGCAGACGTGTCACTTTGAGACAAATTGGCAAAATTTCAGGTATGCCATAAAGGGAAAACCTTAAAAAAGAAAAGTCGACTAATATTCCTACGTGTCCAACAGAACGGAGCCCTTATGTTATATATTATACCTTATAGAGGGGGGAGATTAGTTGGCGGCTCCATTAGTCAGCGGTCGTCGATTGCGTAGCACAGTGGTTGTTGTTTTCCCACCAGATTTGTTTGCATTTTCACATTTATTTATCAACAAATTACGCTGTAAACAAAAGCAAACAGACCAAGCAAACGAACCTGGTCATGGGTGTAGTACCTATAGTACTCTATAGCACTCTATGCCACATACCATACCATATACCTCAAAAGTCCGGCCAAAAGGTTAATTATGCAGCCAGAGACTAGGAATGCTCAGTACTATACTCGTACATTGTAAAGAGAAGTTAGTCAGCGAGGTTCGTCAATCATTTTCTGGATGGCTTACATGAAAATCGTGTTTGGTTTTCCAGATTGTTTTCCTTCTATTTTTTTTCTTTTGTTTTTGGTGGTCTGTGTTAAACGTTTTCCCTGCATTTTTTACAACCAAACAAATTTTTTGACAAGCAACTGACAGAAATTGACAAGCGCGGCCGAGCAATGGGCCAAAATGCTGGAAGACCGAAAAGAACCCCACAAACGATATGATGTGAGAGATGGTTCCAGCTGTGAAAAGGTCAACAATTCAGACATCCAGACATGCTGCTGGGTCTGTCGTGCAGAGTTATTGCCTTTTTTTCCACCCAACTCGTGTTGGTTGCCTCACTTTTCAACGATGTCCGAAAGAAATGAAAAGTGTGGCCTGAGAACCCGAGAAAGGCCTTTCTTCTCGGACAAACGGGCCAGCTCGGACCAGGTAATATTGACAAATTAAAAGCAGGTTAATGTGTCTTTAATGTTTTGTGTAGTTTTCTCTCGTTCTTGTTTGTGGGGTTAGGCATCATAGATCCCAACAAGAAGAAAACAAAAAATCCATTGATGCAACATATGTACGCCGGCATGTAAAAATATACATACACCAAGATCGGTGCGTATCTTTAAGAACCAACATAAACCCCAGATACAGATACTAACACGTCTGTGTGTGTGTGTGTGTGTAAAAACTGGCAGCCAAAGGCAAGGCAATTCAAAAGTCATTGAGGCGCAAAAGTCAAGCATAAATATTTCAAATAATGTTTGCTGGCCCCGCTGGCATTGGGTCTTGGCTCTTGGATCTTTGTAAACCCAAACTAAAACTGCTCGCCCTCTCTCTTTCCCCTGCAATGCTACCCCTCTCTTTCACCCACTATCAGTGTGTGCTTGTTGATGTGTGTGTGTGCTGTGTGGCATAATTTGGTGAGAGTTCGAGTTCAACAGCTGAACAAAAAACAGCATCGAGCACATTAACTTTGAAATAAGAACAACACCATAGAACCCGAATCGGTACAGAGGAAAATATTTGGAAATATATTTTCAAAATAGAATCAAAATGGAATCAAAATGAAATCAAAATAATGCATTTTTTGTATAAAAATTATTAAATATAAATAAAATACATATTTTATTATTTTATTTCCTAAAAACTAAACAAAGACTTAGTTTTTATAAAACTCCAATCTTTAATATCGAATCAACATTATATAACATTTTCTTTCGGTGTAAATAGTACGGAAAATTGAGAATAGAGAATAGAGGAAGCACTGAGAACGGAGCACAGAAAACCGGAGGGAGCTCCCAGCACGATGAGATGAAAAATTCTAGGGGGGTGAGCAAGATAGAGAGGCGTCCGTAATAGACGATGTCTACGCTGATGACCTCAGTTAAAAATAAATAATGCCTTACATTGTTTGGAATTAGTGGCTGTTTTTGGGCTCCAGACTGTAGATGGATCTCCGAGATTCTGGCCGTAAGTTCAGGGTGGCGCTCAGTGATCGGTGATCATGAAGATGCTCTCATAAGGTTGGCGACAATAAAATAAAAACAAAACAAAACATGGGGCGCCCAAACAAATCATTTTGTCAACTCAGCCTGTGTACGCCGGCAGCTGGAGATGGGACATGCATATTTGTGTAAATTCTTGTACGACATTTATCACACACGAAATTGATGAACCTGCCCCGCCTGATAAATGTTTGTGAGCAGCGTGACAGAGGGAAAGCGATTCACTTAAATCGGAGAAAATCTGTGGAAGAGATTAACTTCTAAGCTGCTGAATTGGGTATAACATTGTTTTATTTAATTAAAAGTAAGAGGAGATTTGGAGAAGAGAGATTAGCTTCTTAGTATGCGGATTTAAGGCTCTTATCTGATTGTTTGTTTTGTTTTGAAAGATATTCATGTGTAACTGATTTATTTATTAAATATTCTTAAGGTCTGAAGTGGAATTTATCTGGTAAGAAGTTTTTCCACTATTTATATTAACTTTTAGACCCTAATTACACTTTTTGAATGTAACTTTAATTAGTATTTCGGGTTTCCCCATCTCAAAGAAGAATGCCAGGCCAGCCGAAATATTATTTTAGTTTTATTTGCCTCAAAATTTGCTATTTTATCAACCACCCAGCACAAGTGTTTCGCTGTGAACTTATTTACATACTTATCGGTACATATGTGGAGTATAAACAACAAAGGCACAAAAAAAAACTGAATACAAAACGAGTTTATATATATGTATATATATAAGGTGGCTATGGCTATGCTGTAAAATTATAAAGGGCGGACCATATCAAGAGTTGCTGTTATGGCAGACAAAACGGGTCGCCAGTGTCTCGGGGGTTAAAACAAAAATAAACGATCGACACCGATGACGCACCATAGAACCGGAAATTCAGTATTCTGAGTTCTCAATAACTATGCAAATCGAATTGTTTGTGCACTTTCGGTGATTATTCCCATGGAATTAAAAACAAATACTAGGAGGGGAAAAACCACCACTATCGACAAGAGTGTAAACAAACTGCACAGCGATTATGATTTATGAATCGAAATAAAACGCTGACAATTCAAAAAGGCCAGCGGAAATGGTAGAGAAAACCGATCAGAACCGAAAAAACGATTTCAGATAACTCGAGAAACTGAGTGAAACGCGTCGCTCAGATAATGCAAGCGACTAAACTAACTGTAAACATATATAATATAGGTTATCACTATCATTTTCAGCTTGCAGGTGACAAGATAAAGTGCTAGAAAACACCCAGAAATTCAGGTACAATTTTCTTCGGAGAGTGAAAGTAACTGCCGCGAACCCAGCGACAATCACAAGATGTATCTAAGACCTCTGACGTTTCGTTCTAGGAAGCCCTGAAGCCACAGATAAACAGCTAAGATCTAGAGATCTGCAGATCTTTATGGGCTGGCAGATAAGCTGGTTCTTTCTTATGTTTACCCAAGTCCCAAGATAAGAGACCCGAAGCTCTATTTACCTTTTTAGATGGGTTTCCAGCTGCTGATCGTCGGTCGGGAAGAGAGTATCTCTTACTTTTGCTTTAGATTTAATATATCTTTTGCTTTCACAACACCTTCGAAAATTCCATAAACACCAAATAGAATTTCGCTTTTGTATATTTCTTCACAAAAACTTTTCTTTTCGTATAATTTCTCTTTGAATTTCGTTATTTCGTTTTTTATTCCATTTCTTTTTGGTAAATTTGTAAATTTTTTTTTTTTGTAATCACTTGTATTTATTTCTCGTTTTCAACAACAACATTTCGTCATGTTTTTTTCTATGGGGCGTACAAAAAATGTAGTAAACGTAATCGAAAACAAAAGCACACGTTCTCCCTCGCGAGAGGGAGAGAGACGGCTGAGGCAGTGGCAGAAAGGGAGAGATATAGATAGGGGGGAAACAGAAACAGAAACAGAAACACACGCACACTGTATGAAAACGGAACCGAACCGCAAAGAAAACCGATTTTTATGCACTATTTAGCTTTATATTTTTTCCTGTTTAAAGTTTTCTTTGCTTTTTGATGAAAGGAAAAAATGAGTAAAAAGAGTAAATATTTTTTTTTATTAACTTTATATAGAAACCCGTGCGAAATTCAAGCCCTACAAACGAAGCGTTTGTTTTGTTTGCAACTGCAATTTGCGAGCTTGTTTTTCATATTTTCTCTTATTTGTTGTTTAGGAAAACAAACGATTTCTTTATTGTTAAATGGAGAGTGTTGTTTTAAATCGCGATCGTGTGAGTCTGCCTCTGTTTATCGCGTTGGTTTTTTGTTTTCTGTTTTTGTGTTGACTCCGAGAAATTCGTTCACACCCGCGCTCATTCATAAAACGTATCTGAAAGATACGATCGTCACGCACTCACAGTTTCGTCACTCTATCTGGTGACTAAATTTAATATTTACATTTTTCAAATCCATATATGTATTTCGAATTTCGTTACGCACGATTATATAGAGTAATATATTTGAAAAACGGCAATAACGCAGCCGCTCTATCGAAAACAATCCGCGAGCAAAACCGCGCAGCAACCGCTTCTGTCGAAGAAATTTTTTGAACTGAAAACGCCTTCGAACCAGCAAACCACTTTTGTTGTTTCGAAAACTCAACGGCTGTTGTTAACAGCAGCCGACTTTAACATTTAGCGGGTAACAGCGTGTTTTGTATGGCAAGATAACATGTTCGCATGGTCTTAACATGTGTGAGAATCACGATTATCGGTTAACAGTGCTAGTTAACAGACAAGAACTACAAATATCGGGTAAAATGAGAGCGAGTGAGTAACATGTTGGACTCAAACTGCGCCAACAACTCATTTCGAGACGATCGCTACATCGAACATGTTGCTGTTCGAACGGAAATCCCCTTAGAATTTCATTGAAAGTAAAACTATTTGGGAAAACTCTTCGTTTAAATGTATTTGTGAGTTTAACACACCTATTCGAGTGTGTTTGTAAATTTACACTAACAAGCGGCGATAAAAACTCCATGTTAGAGTCTTTTCTATGGCTTATTTAGTGTGTTTGCTTTTCAGATTTTATGACCCCTGAGGTTCATCTTTGTGCAGCCTCTTCCAGCGCTTATCGACTCGAATCTCCCTTAGTTCTTATCAGTGGGGCATTGTCTTATCTGTAAATTTATGGCCCAACACACATTTAATAGCATCCAGATTCCTGGAAATCGACTTAACACTTTCGTTGTCTCAATTTGATTAGCGCCTGCATTGGCTTAACACTTTTCCATCCATAAAGTTTCTGGACCACAACGAGAGGGAGGGAAACTACTTGTAATATATGAACTTGGTGATAATAAAACAAGAAGAAGGAAGAAAGGAGTGATTTGTTGAGTACTTAACTTAGATAAGTTATGAAAACTTAAAAATGTTTATTTGATTTGCTAAGAAAAACGAAACACCTGCTTAGTACCTAACTTTCAACTTTATTTATTTTCAATACTTTTAGGTTTGCAATTTATTTGATAGATTTTTTATATTTAAATTATAAACTAAATCCGTTATTATTTGTGATACAATTTTCATTCTTTATTTCTAAAAAAAATACACCTAAATTAAGGGAACACGTTTTTAATATCATAATTGGGTAGCTAACCGTTTATTTTAGAGCTCCTAACTTATAATTTAGTTCGACGTGCAGAGAGTTTGCCTTAATGACTAAGATATGTAGTTTATTGAACCCTTGTTTTTAATTTTAATCATATAGATTCACAGCAACAAGAGTGGAAATTATAAGCTATTTTGGCTTAAACATATAGTTAATTGTTTTTAGTATTCACAAGACTAAGAACTTTTTAGGATTATAAATCATCCTTAAAAAGGAGAATGAACTCTCCTGAGCAAATTGTTGAATGAACCCAGACTGCTAACAACAATTCGTCAGGATTAGCCGTGTCAACTCTTTCCTGTTTCTGTGCCATCTCCTTCGTTTTCCCACTCTATTAGCTTTACTTTTCATTCCTCTTTCATATTCTTTCTTTCCCCAATCCCTTCGCATTTCATAACGTTTTTAGGTGTGTTTGTCGGTCTCATCCTTATCGAAGGTGCGCATCTACGTCACAGAGATATTCCCATAACCATTCCCGAACCGATCTACGTGCTCGGGGATTCTCGCTGGCTTTGAAATCGAAACTGCCCATTGTGTTGAAATCTAAGCAAGCGTGCGAGGAGCTCCCCAATCCCCGAGTCCCAAATCCAAACTCCATTCCATGTGATGTGCTGCATGCTTGATCGATAGCGTCTGGTCTCCTTGATTTCCAACGAAAGGTAAACACAACAAAAGCGAAAATATTGAGAAACAAAAAGATGCCAAGCAGATATTTTCGGGAATATTTTGAATAGTTTTCAATGCCAATGGCAGCAGGAGAAACTTAGCTTAGAGAGTGCACTGAGAGAAATGTGATCTGTTATTGATTGATATTTTTTAGTCTGCCAAAATTTTCTATTTCCATATATTTATATATTCTAATTCTTAACTTTATCTAAAATAAAACCTTAAAATAAGCAAATCTGACTTTCTGTTACATTTTCTCTCTGCACGTGTACATTTCACTTTGGCATAAATAATGCCGAATGAAATGCGATAAACAGAGTTATATATTTGCACACAGCGGGAAGCTGGCCAATAAAGTTGTATGGGATTTTCCATAATACGGCGAGCCGACTTAAGACCAAACCAAAACCAAAAAACCAAAACCAAAGCGAGTGAAAAGTGCCATAAAAAAGGCAATGCTCGCTTCGCTTTTGCACTCACTCAGCGACATCATTCTGTTAATGGTCGCACTGTCTCCAAACGGTGCGATATGCAGATTTTGTTTTTGGTTTGCTTGAGAGCGTAGTGAGTATAGAGGGGAATCCCCCTGATTTGCCGCACCCCCCTAAATGCATTTGCGCCATTTGTTGGCCTTGCCGTTTGGCTGATAAGTCAAGTTTTTATGGACGCGCGCGCATTTAACTTGATTATAAACGACGGCAGGCGACCGGGCCATATAAAATCGCTTTTCATTATGGTCGAGGCATGTGAAATTAATAAGCTAGTCAGCCGACCAGCCGGGCGGGCCAACATTTTTGCCAAAAAAAAAAAAAAAAAAAAAATCTTAACGCTCGATACCGCCGCAGCCAAGTTCGTTGCCTAAGTCTTTTGTTTTGCTACGGCCTTTTGATGTATTTTTATTTTTCGCCAATACCCAAAAACTCCCCGCTGCGCGTGTTTGTGGGCAAACAAACTCCAAAAGACGCCTTAAATGTTCATTAATTCAAATTGATTCTAATCGCGACGCCTTCATTAATCTAAGCGCCACCCCACGCAATGCATTTCTATTGGCCGCAAATTATTTATTGATGAGCCTGGGCTGCGAAATTGTTGCTGCCGGATTCGGTTGCAGCCACACAATTGCATGATTAATGGGGCGGATACCTGGAGAGTGTCCATGGAGATTCCAGGGAGTCGCAGAATAGGGACCCTTGTTCTATGACAAACGATCGTATTTATGGCTCTATTCACTCCATCCCCAGGTAGTCACGTCTCTGCGCGTGTTTGCCATTCGCCTTTGGAATCCTTGGCTAGTTCACTTCCGCCTGCCAGCCACTTGTTACATGGCGGGCAAACAAGAAAACACATTTTAAGTGCTGTTTATTTTGACCGGGAAGCGGAGAAGCAAACTCGACTTGTCGGAGGAGATAAGTCTTTCTGGTCCTTCAATTACAAATGCCAGACAGCAGGCCAGCCAGCTATAAACTGACACATCGCGCTGAGTCGACTTAGCGAGTGACTCAGGGGCTGTGTAAATATGTGGATCATACATATCTCCCCAAAAAACTGTGCTACAGGGCACTGAGAGAGATGTGTTCTACTAGAATTTATAATAAGGTAAAGGAAAATCTTAAAGAAAGTTAAAAATAATGATGGTTAACGAGGCATATATTTTACGGGTAAAAAAGAAATGAAATAATAATTTTATTCTTTGCTTTTTGGATGTTTTCCATTATCAGTTCTTATTCTTCTTATATCTGCAAATATATTTCCCTCAGTGTTCCATCTCAAAACAAAGCAAAAGCTGTGTCAACAAGCGGTATCGGGTCAGCTGCTTTCTGGCCAAAGGAGACAAAGGAAGCGAAGCGAGTCGAACCATTCAAGGTTGCCCCCCACAACTTTGGGTCAAGCGATCCGAGAGCAGCGTGAAAATCTTGTTAAGCATTTAATGCCAATGAGCAAATATAAATCAACATGACAAATGACCGAAAATTCTGGGCGACAACATCGCAGCCTTTAAAGAAACACCAAAGCAACAAACAAGGGCGACAAGAGTGTTGGCTGTTGCGTTGTACTTGCTGCACTCTCTTGCACGGTGGCTGCCTTTGTTATTGTAATTGTAATTGTTATGCTGCTACAAGCCATTGTTGCGCCAACCAAAATCTGCATAAATGGGTCAGCGATCAGCATTCAACTGCCGCCGGCGGTGGTTTTACCTTTGCCTTTGTGTACTTGTTACGCCCGCCGGAGCAAAACTCATTGAACCCCATTGAAAGTGTTTCTTTTTCTCATACTTAACAAGCTTGCGTATGCATTGAAAAGATATTCCCAGTTTCATGGATTAAGCAAAGTATTAGTAACTGCTAGAGTTTTATATTACTGCGGGATTAGGAGAGGCAATCTTTTTAGATATAGTTCAGCGACCCTTTGGTAAGCCAAAACCATAAAAAATGATTAAAATATGTGTAAAGTTTGTATTTTCTTTCCTTCTTGATCAGCTGAACATTTTAAATATAAAATAAAAAAATATACAGCCCTAACAGCCGGAGTATTTAAAGACATTCAAACTAGTTTTGGATTTGCTTATCATGTAGCTCCCCCTTTTTTCCAACAATGAGAAACATAAGCACAGCCCATTGTTTTGCCATCGATTCGTATTATTTGCGTCTTGTTAAGCTGCATTGCCAGATGCCTACAAATGGCTATCAACACCATGTGTCTTTTGCATTCCGGGAAGCTCATATTTCGAGAATTTTTACAATGTGCGAATCTGCTTGTTGCTGGTGCTAAGTTCACAGCCGCCATGAATTTGCGGCCAAGACCTTGCTGACAACATTAGACCCTGAAATAGGCGGCCGGAAAACTTGCTGACAGCATGTGGTGAAAACACCGCCCGGAGGAAAAGCAAAAGAGAAAAAGGGAGACCCATACATGCCGATGCCGATGCATCGCCTCCAATGTATTTGGCAGCCACATCCACACTCGATTATATTTTTCGTGGACTTTCGTGGTGTTGCTGCCATCGCCGCAGCCGCCGCCGCCGTGTCTGCGCCGGATCAACTGGCTCTGTAATTATAGAGAACGCTCGCCGTGTCACAGTTGCCACATAAATCAAACCACTGGCGGAAAAGTCAGTCAGCCGGCCAAAGTTGCTGCTGTTTTAAAGCTGCTAATACACTTCAGAAAAAATAGTTCTCTTTGGAAAATAATAGTCTTCAAAGTGTGTTTAAAAGTTTGAAAACATTAGACATTAATCTAAATAACAATTAAGAATGGTAGTGGTAGCTTCGTCAGGTTT